ACCCTTGGGACGTTTTTTGATCCGTAACTGTCGCCCTATGATAGTCTTGGATTCTGGATTCTACGCTGTGGATTCAGGATTCCAGATACTGGATTCCAGTCTATGGCAGTTGAACTGGGATTCTGGATTCCATTTGTTAGTGGGATTCCGAATTCCTTGAGCTGTATTCCGGATTCCAAAGCCAATGATTCCCGATTTTACGGGTAAAATTTTCCCGGATTCGGCTTCCACAAGCCCAATTTTCCCGGAATCCAGATTCCCTTTGCGTGGAGCAATAACCGTGTAAAAACCAAGGGCGTAACCGTGACTACAACGAAACAACAACGACAAACCTTGTCAACCATGGACACGATTTATTGATTTTATCCTAGATATTTTGAGAATGGAACTTCGGCGCCAAAGGACAGCCAAAGTATAAGCAATAAACGATGTAAATAGTCTTCTCATTTTGGTAGCTAGGGAGAAACTTAGTAAACTTGCAGAGTACTAATTCTTTCCATTTTCTTCAGTCTGCAGAATACATCAAGTATGTGCGGCTATTTCGCTGTTCCAATGAGAAAGGATACTTTTCTATCTCTGAGAAGTGTTCAGACTTTTGTCAGGTGAGATAAAAGTATCTCCAGCAACCTCCCTTCAAGAAATGTTCTTCCACTGGGAATAGAATAACGTAGTAATGAGGCAAAATGTTCATTTGGTCCTGTAACCATTGTAGATCCACCAATCCATATGCTGCAGTTTTGTCACCTTTCCACCTAGGGTGGAGTGGGGGAGCAACCTCGTCGCCAGGTCGCTTTTCCCTTGCTTTGGAGGTGGGGCGGGAAAAAAATTATTTGGTCATTTTCTTACATAAATTACCTAAATCAATCAACCAATCAAAATGACGGATCGACCGGCCGATGCCAGGGCCTTTTCCCGCCCCACCTCCAAAGCCAGGGAAAAGCGCCCTAGGGACGAGGTTAGTGGAGTGGAGGGGGTACTCCCTATGATGGCCTGTTCGAGGCGGCTCCGCCCGAAAGGGGTTCCTTTTTCAGGCTTCAGGTATATGAAAGCATTGGATTTCACTAAAATACACTTGAAATATCTGAAAGGGTAGGGAAATCTCTCATTTTAGGCCTATCAGATGCATTTTATGGCTGTTAGAAAGTTAAGAAAACATTCTGGTATTGTGATTGATTCCTATTTAAAAGACCGTGAATTTGCAGCAGTTAAAGGGATGTAAAGTTCTAAACTAGCTTTGTGAAAGTAGTACCATAAAAGGTATACGAAAGGGGTATCTTTCCTGTCAAAAATGGTATGTAAAAAAGTAAGGGTTTGGACCTCGGGTCGGAGCCTCCCAGTACTGAGATCCCCCCACTGGGGCTTTTCCATAGTCAACTGTCCCGAAGGGATATCCCAGTAGCCCTTCCTTAAGCCCCCACTGCAAATTTAAAAAGGTTGCCAGGTTGGGTCCCATGAATGTCAGTGTTCTTTATTCAAAAAATGATATCTTTCTTTACCATCAGGATGATTTAGCTAGCGATGATGTCATGATTTTGGACACAGGACATGAGGTGCGATGACTTATATTGATTATAACTGAGCATGTGCACGTTTAATAAACGCAATTCAGTCCACGCTCTCATAAACTGATGCTCTCCTAACTTGCAGCCACTGTAAGCAAAATTATCCGATTTTAATTGTCCGCTTACGAAACAGAATCCCGTAAGCCGCAAGCTCAAATTGCAGACACTTTTTTCTGTTTTTGAAGGGTGTCTTTTTAAGGACACCTTGACTGTACTTCTTCTTTAAAAAGACAATGCTAAAAGGGCAAAATTGTGTTTCCTCACTTTCTATCTTGGATGTTGGAGAACAGCTCAAAGACGCAGGTCACACTTAAAATTTGAGAACGCGATGGTTATACAACAATCTGTGAGGAGAAGAATGGGGGAAGACATAGAAAATGCCGTATTGAACTTTTGGCCCTGTACGAGAACATTTTGTGATGTGCGGAATCGTCTAACATCACTTGACCAAATTTGTATCGAGAAGGCGTCGGTATCACTCTGACAGTTTTTTGTCGTTAAACGTTTTCCGCTTTGTTTGTTTATTGCATTCTGAGAGGAATCTCTTTTTTTATTGTGTTACGAGGAATACATTTAAGTTTAGTTAAGGTCATGTAATCGCCAACCGGCCAAAAAATATGAACAGATTTTTGGCCCTTTTTCTTTCACTAAACTGTTTGTTGTCTTTAAAGGTATTTGTTTGGATGGGACCACAATCCAGTGACGTTGAAAGGAAAATGGCCATCAAAAGTACCCAGGTACAATAACTTTGTATCATTAGATGAGGTTTTTGTGATATCCGGAATAATCAAGGTCCAGGTAAGTGTTATCAGCCGAGCGGACGGCCGAGGCTGCTAACACTTACCGAGACCTTGATTATTACATTGTTTTCAAGAAAATAACGACAAACACACCGTCGCAAGGAACCTAAATTGATATTGTTGTTGGAAATCATGCATTGCGCGTGCAACCTACAGATCTGTAGGTTGCGCTGATTTCCAAAATTAGCTGTAGGCTCTTAGCCAATGAGAGGACAGATAGTTATATGTATATTAATATTTGTGTATGTGAAATGTAATTCACGTGATACTCTGCTAGCAATTTTTGGTCAAGTCGCCTACCGGCATTGTCAACAACACGCAAGAGCACCTTTAAACCTGTTTATATCATTCCTTAAACACCCCAAAGTAGACATGATTGGACACCCTCTTTGCACGTGCTACTAGCGCTTCCGCCTTTTATACTACCCTAGTTGAAATTTCTGCAATTTGATTGGCTTAGAGCAGTGGTGTTTCAGCGTAATTTGAAATACGTACATGTGAAAATTACAAACCTTTTGCGGGTAGTAGTATAAACAAATAACAGCATGATTTGTACGTGATATTTGGCATAAATACCACTAGTGATATTTCAAAATTGTCTCAAATTTCACTCGCCTAACGGCTCGTGAAATTTCGTATACCAATTTCGAAATATCACGCGTGGTATTTATGCCAAATATCACTACAAATCATGCTATTACCTATACAAATAGTGATTTCTTTACTAAGTAATTCATGTACGACAAAGAAATAGGGCATTGCCGAGTTCCGAAAACCCTCACTTTCAAAATGAGGCGAAGTGCACAACCTTGCTTGTGAAAATGAGTTTTATTTGCATGAGAATGGAAAATGATTTTCATATCAAAGGCTGAGCACTTAACTTCGATTTGATAGAGAGGCCCGGGGGAACTGGGAAATGGCCTATTAAAAAACCTTCGTATGCACAAGTGAAATTGACTCCACTAAACTGCGCCTGAGACAAACGTGAGGAAATTTTGGTCTTCCGCCATGTCAAGTTTGTATGGACGCGGGCGTTCATATAAGAAGTTTCGAAATTTTGCTTTGTGTGTAATGCATAAATATATTTGTTCCAAAAACGCAAGTTTTGTTTCTACGTTACAAGTAAAGTATGGGGCGGTTTTCCGCCCCGTTTTTTTCATCTAGGAGGTAAGAAACCGACTTTGGTCACTTCAAATGATAGTGATTTGTTTAATATCTGGGAGGCAGTATATAAATACACCTGTAATGAAAAAATATGTGAATATCATATATTATAGAACTGCGAGTTGAAGAATTTAATATATAGAAGATCATCGTAGTCGCAAACGCAACTTTTGCAGTTACGAAAAGAAAGCCTGAAAAATTCAGGCTTGTACGGGATTCGAACGTCCTTCCTTCTTAATTGCGAAATCGAGTTGCTTTTGTCACCGGGATGATCTTTGCGTTGAATTAAAACACCTTTGTTTCTTGTAGGTTTATATTCAACACCTTATGCAGCTTGACAGTTCTAGTCCAATACGGAAACTTCGCTGTACCTTTAGAGGAAGAGAGCCACATCAGTTTACAAGGTGTTTCCATGGATGGGGGGATTTTCATGACCCCATGAAATGAATTCTCTGTCTACATGCTAAATCTGATTGACGAAAAAATTGGATGGACAGTTTTCCCATCCTCAAATCTATGCTTCGTAACATCTCCTAAGGTGGTAGCATATTGTATGAAGTATTGCGGCAGCCGAATGAAATCAGCACTATCTGAGTGGCTGGTGTGTCTGTCTTGTTACTACGTTGCCCGCTTTGATATACGACTGTAATGTCTAACATAGTTCTAAGCACTTTTTGGCACCTTTCATAGGAAACCGTTCGTTTCGATACAAAGTCAAGCAGTGAAATTGCACAAACATTTTGTTCGCTTCCAGTATAAATTGCGAGTGAACAAGACACATATTTGAGGTGAATATCTTCGTTCTGTAAACCAAGTACGTGGAACTATTTACACCTCAAATGAATAAACTTGTATCGAAACAACTTTGTATCGAAACGACCGGTAACCCTCTGATATGGGCGAGGCCCTGTTAGGGTGAAATTCAGCCAAGCCACATGGCCAGCTACACTAGACAAAAATGGATAAAATGGTGGACAAACGACATAAAGATGGTTAAATACCAAAAGGGACATGGCCTACTCCTCAAAATTAGAAATGAACGTATTTGAAATTCAGATTAGGGACATACATAACCCCTCCCCCTCCTCCACGTAAGAGAGCCTCATGGGCGTTTATGGTGCTGAGTTGTTTTGTAACCTGAATAAGTAGGCTCAAATGTTCATACATAGATCGAGACTGTAGTCAAGGCTCTACGAAAAGGACATCATTTTTTTGATTTGACCTCTCTGAGTTCTCAATCATCTTATCCTATTGGGGAGGAAAAAACATTAGACTTGAGAGAGTGGTGTGGTAATCGAGCCTTAACAAAATTATCCGTGATAAAGATTGTCAAAAAACATACTGCATCTTGGGCCGCGGTCGTTTTCCTCTATACGTGACGTCATTCCATGCAAAGTAGAACTGGCGTGAAGCTGCTTTGAATAAAAGTGGAGGGAAACAGTACCTCAGACCCTGTTTGCGTAGTCTCCCTCGCCGTTGTCTCGTCACGCAATGCTTTTCCCGTTGGGGAGAGACTACTGTTTACTCGGATCCAAACAAATTTGTGAACGGACGAATTTCTGTGCAAATTTCGCGGCAGATTGCAGCACTGTTGGCCGTTCAAAAATTTGCACGGTTCCCTGGGTTCCATGTAAACGAAAGCAGGATCTTTGCAAGATTTTCTCTGTTCAAAATTTTGTGCGAACCCGTGTAAACGCCACGGGGCCTCAAGGTGTTTGCTTTTTGTTTTAGCTCCTCAACTTGCTCATATTTTGTTTCAAAAGTAAGAGGATTATATTTTGCCATTATGTCAAACAATAACACAATAGAAAGCACTAACTGGTTTTTGAGTGTGTCTAGACTCTGTTTTCAGCCTAAAGAGGTAACTTCTAACTTAGATGCTTGCTGAACTTTCCGTTGGCAATTAACTTTAAAAACAGTTCTAGATGTATGTCAAACAAAATAATCACTTCCCGCAGTTTTTTTTTTTTTTTTTATTTAAGTGTATATGAGAAGGGACATAAAAACAGTCCTACATTGTATAAACCTGTATGTACTTGTAATAAAGTTAATTTTAAAATTTATTATTACTACATGATTTGACAAAAACTTTTGTTTTTCTCCAACCAAACCGTGAATGGATACAACTAACTCCAATTTGCAACATTGCATACATTATATACTACATGCTAATATTTTAAAACCAGTGCAGTATATTGCTTTACGGAAAAATACTCATTTCCTCCTAACTCGATATTTAATTTCTTACAACACAAATATTGTCTTGTTTATTTTTAACTATTTTAAAGTATCTCTCAGTTTGAATTATTAAATATGTCCAACCCCTGCTGAGTACCCATATACCACAAAAAAACTACACCTACTCTAATAAATACATATTAAACTAGCATTAAAACCCTAACCCATAGAGGAAGAAATAAACTCTTAATGTCTACACAAAGCTTCATTTTGCAAACATTCCATTGACGTTACTTTATAGTTAGGTTGTTCCAGACAGGTAATGCTGATTACCTAAGTCTTCCTCGCAGCCATTCTTGTCTCTATCATGCAATGCTCCTGCCCAAAAAAGAGGAGCATTGCAAGATGAGACAAAACGGCTGTGACTTAACTTACTCTGGAGGGAGGCCAGAGGGCAGAGTTGCCCATAAAAATGAGAGTGGTGCTCACTAGAGGGTAAGACTTTGTAGGGTGATAAAAACAAAAAGGAGTACACTGTACCACTGAAGGCAGTTTCAGTACCTTTTATAAAGTCCCTTCTATTTTTGTTACTTTATCAACCTGAAAATAATTGTCAGTGCAGACAGCTGATCCACCTAGAGATGTCTTCAAATATTTCTGACAAACACCTCCACCTCCTCCCCCTAATATCCTCCCCCTAATATCTTCAGAGGAAAGTCACCTCTCCAGGACCTTGTACTTCCATAAAGATTACATCTTTTACGAAGCACACTGTACCTAAATATACATCTAATGCATGAAAAATCCATTAAACAAAAGGAACTCATCACACTGTGAACAGGCATACTACATGTACAGCCTGTCAGCTGTAAAATGCAGATGTACACAGTACATACATTGTATCTAGTGTATATCTGTATATCTAGTGCATGGAAAATCCATTCAACAACAGGAACTCACTACACTGTAAACACTTGTAGGTGCATAGTTACATGTACAGCTATAAACAAAATTATTTGTTAAAATTATGTGCATGTATGAAATATCATACATAGAAGATATTACATGGACATGTAGGGATACCACATTTTCCCCCGAGTGTTGAACAGTGTTTTCACAACTTGGAGAGAATTTTCCTATCCCCAAGCAACCACGTAACATTCTATTAATTTATTATTATATAAAACACCAATAAAATACCAAACTGCATGTATTAAACCCTACATTGTTTCCTGTCTAAGATGGGACTTATTATGTAACCATGGTAACAGCAATCTTTTCATGCATACAGGTAACATGTTATTTTCACATGTGAAGATATCATGTTTTGCTCAACTGGTATTTCTTTGGTGTTTATAAATTATTATAATAAATTTGTACATCACATTTTATTCTTTCTTTAAGTCTTGTTAAGTGCCGGAGAGGACACGTAGTTTCTAGGAAAGATTCCAACGCAGCCATGAACTTGCCCCTTCCACCAGTCGTCATTTGTTTTATCCAGCACTGTGATCCAGTCTCCAGCATTGAAGCTCACCTCGTCATCATCTTGAGCGGTGAAGGAAAACAATGCCTGCACCATTTCATCCTTTGTAATTTTTGAAAGAAAAGGTTTACATAAGCGTTCCTGTACATGTAAATGGCCATTGGAATTGAAACCAATGTTTTTACAGTGTAATTGCAGCTCAGGGTCACGTGACCTACATTGTAGCTTATATATGCCAAAATTATGAGATACAACCCTAAGAACATCAGAGATTGAAGTATAAACATAAAACAAATGGTGGGACTGCCAATGAATGCATGTGCATGGGTCGTTTCTAGGTTGAGGTATTGTCAGCCTAAAAAATATATTTTTTTGGACCTTGTCTAATATCCTGGGGGACAAGTCAAGGTTACTAACTCTAAGAAGTCAATGTCGATGCATGAGAAGAATTGAACTCAATACTTACTATAAACTCCACTTCATTCAGAAGTATGTGCTGTGTTTTACTGACAGAGTTTGTTTTGTGATACTCCACCAGCTGGTTCAAAGATGGAAACTTTCTGATCCACAAGTAGTACTTTTTCTCCTCATCTTTGAAGATCTTAAAGTGTTGCACCTTGTCGCCACTCCTATAAAAGTTATCAGGGTAGTAAATAAGAGCCGTTTTTGTTTCAATTTGTTGTTTTTTAGAGGAAGAAACCCTGCAAGCAGAGGCCCTTCGATCTTCTTAGATAAGACTTACCGAAGGGCCTCCACTCACAGGGTAAGAGGAGTTTGGATGGTGATGTGACATTAGGGTGTCTGGGTGTGTGAGGAATCTTTAACTGACACCTCTCTCTTACAGACAATTGACCTGGTCCCAAAGATGCACAACTCCCTACAACCCCTACCTCCATAATATTGACATCTATGTAATAAGGAAGCTTGGATCTGTACCTTTCTGTATATTTATTAGGCAGTTTGTTTGCTCATGGGTGCAACCTTAACATTATTTGAAATGAGGTAGATACATGCACTGATTAGTCATTTTATAGTTTTATGCACTCAGTGTACCTGCGGCACAGTCTTAATTATTTACACATAAATTTATTTTAGTGTACAAAACAATACCTGTACTTACCTGACTGAAAGGGAAAAGTCTCCTGAAAGTGAGAGCAAGATCAAAAAAAGTCAGTGAACAATCAAATAATTCATTTAAACTGGCCTTGCACAGCCATATAGACTAACAATACGATAAAAGAGAAAAGATAGTAATCCCTGTCTTTTTAGGCAATTTTTAAGGAAAGAGTTTGCTATACCTCATTTACTCCCTTTTTCCCTTTATACATCTCCAACTTATTAATGCCCCTCACATGTTTGAATAAGTTGGAGATCTTTAAAGGGTGAAAAGGAGTAAATAATGTATAGCAAACTCTTTCCTTAAAATTTTATAAGAATAGCTTTAACAAGAACAAATACAAATAACTATAACAACAATAATTAAGTATACAGTATCTTCTGTTTACCTTGGAAAGGTCAGGTTTTTTGGATGCTGGCCAAGTTCATTTTATTTGCATAATTTTGTTACCGAAAGGAAGTTGCTGTCCATTACACCCACACAAAAAAAATGAATGAGGGCCAACACCCAACTTTCTTAAATGGATTAGCAAACTTGATTCAAAAGCATTATTTTTCCAAAATAAATAAAGTCATAGTCACCAATTTTGGCCTTTTTCTTTCATTTTCTTATTGAAATAAAGTCTTTCATTTTCTTGTAATGCTTTCATAAAAACATTTTTTCTCTTATATATATGTCTTCCATGCCTAATTGGGTAGCCAAGATTCACACTGAAGGATTTATTTTACCTTAACTAGATCGACTGACACATGTCTTGAATATTAGGCCCAGTTTAAACAAAGATCTTTTCATGAACCAAACCTATTTCCTTCAACTAAGTACATGAAAAGATCAACGTTTGAGTCAATATTAAGTCCAACATATCTAATTTGGAGTTGACCCACGAATTATCCCTTTAAGCCCCAATATACATGTACAAATTCTCCAAACTGTTCTCCATACATTTTCTTAAAGAATGAGTTGAGAGAATTTGATAAAAGATCAAAGCATTTTCTCTCAGGTGATCATTTTATTTATTCTCATAACCTAATCTCTTGAAATTGTATGGATATTGTTAGGGGAAAATTGATGTTGGTCACTATTGGGACTTAAAAGGTTAAGTCTGAATAGCCCACAAGAGAATTTTGAGCGAGGAGCGACTTTGTTTCAAACGTCAAACTTACTGTAATTTATTTTCTCCTTAAACATTGTAGACCATTGCAGTTCGTGAATGAGTTGAGTCCATCTAATTGAGTTCAACTTCTGAATCAACCGTCAAACTTATATCATTTGAGTCAACCCAAATAGCTATTTATTTCAGTACATGAAAATTTTGATGTTTGATTGAGCTTTACCAATTAAATATCTGATAAAATGGTATAATTAATGTACCTGGAGAACTTTCACTCTCTCGGATAAGAAATGCCCCTTCAAACTGAAGCTGTAAAAGGGCTTCTTCGGCTTGTCTTCTCGTTATTTTGCCATGGAACCAACTGAGAATCAATCAATGAATATTTTTTGTTTTATTTATCTACACTGTACTTAGGTTGGCCAATTCTTGGCAGGGACACTGCCACGCGACACATACTGTGGCCCCAATATAACAGTCACTCACCCCATGAGAGATAGACCGCACCACACCAGGAAGTACATCCCCTACTCTTAACAACCAGTGTGTGGGTTCTTTAACATCCCAATTTCTTTGACTGTGCAAGGGTTGTGAGACGGGGCCTACGGTTTCTCTCTCAAAGTCTAACTGTTTGCAGATGTCTTTACAAAGGAAGCACTTACTCCTCAGTCATTTACTGCGCTTTTCAAAAACATGCAACTCTAGTTCAAAAGCCACCTTCACAGTCACGTTTTTCTCTGCCATCAATCATAATATTATTACAATCACAAGCTACAAACCTTGAAACACAGAAACACGCAAAATGGATTGAAATCCACAAATCACAAACGAATGACCCTTTAAACCCATTGAAGTAAACTTCTGGGTCCCCTTAGATAATTGACGGTAGCGAAAAGCACAAAAGTCAGTACTTGGCTAGCTTTTGAACTTCAGAATTCACATGTTTATGAAAAGCGCAGCAAAGACCCCAATTGTTTAGTGGTCTGGCTGGGGTTTGAACCAGCGGCCTCCCACTTGACAGATCAGCGGTTAGCCAATGATAACAGTCATGCATGACCATGATATCACAAACTGTATGCCTAATGGAGACACAGTAGCCTTGTAGTTAGCCTTCTGACCTTGCATGGAGCTGACAGTGCATCAAGGCCAATCTTTGCAGTGAATGCCCTTAACATACGAATATTACCTCATATACATGTAATACTCCACAGTGTCCTTTGCCTGGGCAGCGGGGGGGCGTACTCCCATACATTACCTATACGGGTATGTGCTGCCCAACGGGGTCGTGATTTTGAAGCTCCTGATTTAGAACAGGGTATCCATTTCAGAGGCATTTTCTAGAACGGGGTATAATATTTCAAACGTGCGAAAGCTCCAGTTTTGTAAGCAGCCATTTGAAATTATTCAAGGACAGATTGCTTTTAAAAATACGGTGCAATGCGTTAACAAGCAAACTGTTGTGCTCTTGTTGCACCCTAGAACGGAGTATAAAAACTTGGCCCATTTCTAGAACGGGGTATCAGTTTTAGGGCGAATTCTAGAACGGGGTATAAAAAATTAGCTCATTTCTAGACAGGGTATCAATTTTAGGGGAAATTTTTTTTAGAACGGGGTGCCAATTTGGAGTCCCGGGCGGCACATACCCACCCGAAAAATACCCAAGTGCCCCCCATCCCCCCGGGGGCTCCTTTGTCACGACTTGGGCAGTGATCGACACAAATGACAAAGCTATGGTGACTCTTAGATTGACTAGTATCCTCTCAGGGATAGAAGCAGTACTCTCACAGAGAATGGATTAAGACCCGAATGTTGAGTTGCATGTGGACATATTTCATGACTCAAGCATTTATGACAAACACGGAAGAACTGTCGATTTTTATCAATAAGACGGAAACTGAACTGTGAAGAATCGTGTTATGAAAATCTCGCTGAATTCTTAGTTTTCTACTCTTGTCGGATGAATGGAAATTTAGTACAGTTAAATTTTCTATTACAAGATAAAGTCACTTGATTAACTAGAGAGAGAAACCAAAAGCTTACGAAGAAACGAAACATGGCAGCTTATTCTTATACTTACTTGTGCGCCCTCATGGTAATATATGTATTTGGTATCCATCCTTCTCGATTGCCTTGTTCTGCTTTGTACCAGTTCTTGTCAGAATCCATATCTAACACCTGAAAATAAAAAGAATGGAGCTGAGTTTTACAACTCGACCTACGATCGCGATCGATACTTGATGAGCGTGCAAAATAGAATTCATTGGAGCTAAATGACTCTAAAACTGTTCTCACATTTACGATGGTGGCCTTTTCAAAGGACAGTTCGTCTTCTTGAGACGCAGCAAAGCGATACTTAGCTTCAGCCTCCATTGACTGATCTTTCTTTTCTTTTCTCAAGAAAAAATATTTAACGACGTAGATTGATCACCATTGCTAACATTGGCAGGAAGTGACTTTGAGATGACAATCGGCCCGTTCTCATGCCCCTCGCCCTCGGTGAGAACTCGATTTCCTTATATGGAAATGGTCGGAATCTGACGGAAAATGTCGGATAAGGTTGAGACTTCCGGATTTATACTTGGAAACAGTGGAAATCATCGTGACGTCATTGTTAACATCTTTTCTCATTAGCATGCACGAGTTTACCCATAGAAGGTGTGGCTGTATATACCAATAAGTTTGAAAAATTAAAAGAGCTGATTAATTTATGAAGTTTGAGCAAGTTTAATTTCGGTTCTTTGCAATAAGTAACAAAGAAAATAGCAACAATTAAAAACTGCAAAATTACGAGGTGGAATAAACGTTAATGAGCTCATACATTCTTTGTAAATTTTGGGGTTTTTCAAAGGGAATTTCTCCGAAACTGCTCAAATTTTCGGAGAAAACTGAAATTGTTATGCTCTTTCAATATTCAGAAATTTCAATTTACTAGCCTCATCAGATAATGATAAGCCTGTGCTGTTGAGGCAAAAAATGTAAACAAGGATTCGCCTTACTATTCAGAGGGTTAAAACCCAATTTTGTCGCTTCACTATTACAGTAGAAGCTCTCCTATCGGACAGTCTTGTAAGCGGACAGCTCTACCTATAGAAGGCCGCCTTCACAAAACCCCGTTTTTCTCAACTCTCAGACAAACTCTGTATTTTTACTTTCCCGTAAGCGGCCAGCTCCAGTGATAGACACCTTTTTCGCGTCCCTAGGGTGTCCGCTCACCGTGAGCTTCCACTTAACAATAGAAGCCCTCCTAACGGACTGTCGACACTTTTGTAAGCGGACAGGCCTCATGGGTTAGGGTACCACATCTTAGGTACAGGTTCTTTTTTGTTTGCCGATTGTCGCGTTCTCTTCATGCCCAATTTGCGTTGAGAAGGCTGAGTAAGTAAACACCGAGGCTGTTCTATAACGGTTGTAAGGCCCATTTCAAACGTCGCGCTTCTTCCGTGCGGAACTAAATTGATTGAATTAAATTCGACTTAAACACGGCAGTAGCGCGACGTTTGAAACCAAGTCCTGCTGCTGCCGCGTTAATCTTGTACCCAGATCTCCCACGGCCAAGGGATTTTCAGTGTAAGACAGAGTGAGATCTGGGTACGAGATTACTGCCGCTTTGCCGTGCTACACGCCCGGCGTGGGGGGGTACTCCCATACATTACCTATACGGGTATGTGCTGCCCAACGAGGTCGTGATTTTGAGGCTCCTGATTTAGAACTTAGCGGGGTATCCATTTCAGAGGCGTTTTCTAGAACGGGGTGAGAATATTTCGAACGCACGAAAGCTCCAGTTTTGTAAGCAGCCATTTGAAATTATTCATGGACAGATTGCTTTTAAAAATACGGTTCAATGCGTTAACAAGAAAACTGTTGTACTCTCGTTGTACCCTGTGTTTTAGCGTGCAGGGGGCGGGGGGCGTATTTTGGCGCGAGCCGCGAGCGCTGACTCCGCCATCTTGGATAAATAGGCGCGCATAAGTCTGGAACGAGTCCATAATGTACCTGAGGGAGATGGAGACAGGCTCAAAAATAAGGGACAGGGGGGGGGGGAGAAGGAAAATCGTTAGCTTACGAGCGTGGTTCTGTGCGTGGTGAGCGATTTTGCGTCATAATTAACCGCATGGTATCCACATGCACAGGAAACGTAGACATATTAAATTCTGCCAGCAGAATACTGCAATGCTGATCGTACTACGTGAAAATTAACTCTGTAAGACATCAACGCGACACCGAAAGAACTCAAAACAGAGCGGGATTGTAGCCATAGACAGCTGTTTCGGCCTCTTTGGTGCTCGTCAGTATGGCGTAACAACCAGAGATCAGGCTCCGATGAAAAAATATCTGCGCACTCTGATTTTAGTCCTGACCCAGAACTCCTAACACCCACAGAATCAGGTCATACCAAGTGTCTTCTGGGGGGCAAGAGTCCAAGTGTCAAGTTGATGTCTCGCAGAGAAAATGAAGAGTTGGCTAAAACCAACCTAAAAAACATGGACAAAACCAAGCAAAGATTACAGCATATCGGATCTATAAAAGATCTACGGCCCAAACAGGAAACGTACTCCGGATGATTATGAAGAAGCATTTATTTGATGTATAAGTAGAACAAATAAAGAAATATCTTTTTAAAAAAAATAGGGCTATTTCAATTTACAAACTTTCCAGAGCGGAGTATATATATAGAGCGGGGTATCAGTTTTAGGGCGAATTCTAGAACGGGGTATAAAAAATTGACCCATTTCTAGAACGGGGTATCAATTTTAGGGGAAATTTTTTTGGAACAGACTGCCAATTTGGAGCCCCGGGCGGCACATACCCACCCAAAAAATACCCAAGTGCCCCTCCCCCCTCCCCGGGGCTACACGGCAGTAGCTCGACATGGTTTCAAACGCTACTGCCGTGCCGAACTCAATTACGTTCAATTCATAAATTATAAATACATTAGAATACATTTTTTAAAACAGTTCACTAAACCGCTTTTTGTTTTTTATTTTTGTTTTCCGCAACAGCTATTTTATTCGACTGAGTTAAATTCGACGCCTGAAACCAAGTCGTGCTACTGTCGTGCTAAAGTCGAACCAGCTTAGAACGGTAGTAGCACGACCTAATTCTCGTTTTCAAACGAAGTACATCAACCTAGCCTCTACCATGCTGTGTCCTTCCACCAGGGTGGCAAAGGGATTTTCCGAGAGGCGTACTGATGTTCCAAATTAGTAGCGTGATAGGTGATTGGGTCCAAATTAGCTGCGTACGTAATTCTGCTTTTAGGGTGTTATTTTTATACAGTAGTTACGTACGTTCTCCACATCACCCTTCCCTCTAGTCTGCAGCCGTTTTTAGAGTCGTCCCCAACACAAAAAAGCAGACTACCTCCCTCCTTACCTGAGATCAGACTCTATTTTCGTTTCGCTTTGAAAAAATTACATTCCGGCGGGCATGGCGAAACGGTAGCCGTTAGTCATGAGAACCGCTCAAATTGGGCCTGATCTCAGGTTACGTCTCTCCCTGATACGCCATACGTCAAGGTGAAAAATAACAATGGTTGGTTAATGCTGTAACAGGAACATTTCATTCGATGATTCGATGTGTTGCATCGTATTAAACATTACGTTAGCAAATAATTTTGAAACAAACGACGGGCCGTGATCCTCCCTCGCCTTAGCCTGTTCCAGGCGTTCAGATAGTGCAGCGGCTGTAAGTGGGCGGCGAGATTAATAACTGGAAAACGGGGTGGGGGGGGAGGACGAGAGCGAGAGAACTCTCTCCCCCTTTCCCCTCTCGTCTCCCCTCGTTTTTTCTTTCTTCGTGAATTTTTGTCCCGCGCTTTACTATCTGAACGCCTGGAACAGGCGCCCCTCGCCTGGAATTTCCTCCTTTTCTGTGAAACTGTGACACGAACGGAGTCCTGGCGTCACGCACGCACAGGAAGTAACAAACGGACCTTATTTTTTCTAAAGATGATTTGACGAGTTTGTCAGAACAACTTTCTTTTCGAGAAATGGCGGTCAGAGAAAATAGGATGATTCGACGATTTTTAACCGGTTCTTAACAAGAAATTCAAATGCCCAACATGCAGAGTGCTGTATTTTAAAAAATGCAAGACTCTCGGGGAGAAATAGTAGACGTCACTCATTCTATTTATGTACGCAACTTCCGCTACATGAAATGGCATGTCTCTCCTCCGGTTGCGACATCATTTACGACTGCAGGGCCATTTAACGTCCACCAGTTTAAGAGATCATTATGGCACGGCTATATCTTCTATTGTGGATATTGTTTAGCGTGTTGATCGCATTCTCCAGTTGCAGAACACCGTGCTCAAGGATTTTCTTTCAAAACATCAATGAAGAAACCATGCCTTACAAAATTATTGAAGGTGTGTTTACAAAGGAGAATATCAACCACAAAAACTTCCCTGTGTATCGGCGTGAAAACGACAATCTACTGTTTTACTATTATATTTCCAACGAAGGCAAAAAATACTTGGCCTTTGGACTTAATCTAAAAGACTACTTTGGCGTCGCTGCTGCTGTTTATAGCGCCGTTGATCCGGTATCTTGGCTGAGCTCCGGGAGTTTGGATAGAAGTGATGTCTTTGGAGGATTGATATACAAGTGGATGTTTTTCAACACGCGTGATAAAACCAATTACTATGTTACAGTTAGTAGTTCGTCACCTATGATTAAAACTGTATGCGTGGATGAAGATTTCAGAGAATGTAACTCGGATAGACTCTACTTGAATGACAATTTCACCGATGGAAGGGGGAATGTTGTGAACGATCTCACTCGAGATTATTTCTTTCGCAAGCAAGGTGTCTTCCGTAACCTTCGCCCTCTGTATCAGCATAGTAGACAAACGTGGTACCTTCAATACACTGCAGACGGCTTCTGGGTGGTAACAGAAAGGTACTCACCAAGCAATTCAAATGATAACGTTTTAATGAAGACTAAAGATTTTGCCCTGCGACCAGAGTACATCAGCAAGACTTGGTCGGTCCATTACAATGGATGGCGTTATATGCCTAAACTTAGAGTCTTGTGTAGAGGAGTAAATTCCATGTCAAATACTTGTCTATCAAAGCCATGTGATAGCAAATCTACATGCATCTACACTTCCGGTAACGAAACACTTTGTCTCTGTCCTTCCGGTTACACCGGTGTGACATGCTCTAGCAACAAACAGTGCCCCACTCCCTACCCCTTATCTGGCACAGAACTGAACTTCGCATATCCAGGAAAAAGGCCTGGCGATCTCGGCTTTTCCTTCTGCAGTGGATCGTATCCTTCTGTAAGGTTTGCCGTGTGTGTGGAAAGCAAATACAGTGTTAATTCTTACTGGAGCAGACAAGGCAGCGCCTGCCGTATAGGGAATACTGGAAGCACTTCTTCCCCCTGGACACCCTGGAATCCACCAACAACCGAGAGGTCCTGGACACCCTGGAAACCTCCCACGCCTGGAGCTCGTCATATTAACTTTGATGACAACCCTGTAATCGTTCCCGTGGTACTTACTTCAGCCGCGCTTCTGGAATTGCTCCTGCCATTTATCATCTACTGTTGCGCTATGTGCAAGAAAAAGGGTAAAGAAGACAGAGAAGAACAAGAAGATCAGAGGAGGTTACAGGAAGTCGGCGGGGAATTAGAAAGGAGACTTGAGCAAGTTGCTAGGGCCGGAAGCCAAGAGGAACTCGACCGAGGTGTTCAAGATTACCAACAAACCGTACAGGAATACCAACTTGAGAACGAAGACAAAGAACTGAGCCGCAAACGAGGCTTGTACAGAAATGCAAGTTTATGGCGAATCATTTCCATGCACTTGTTTTTTTCCTTTTACCTATGGATCGTGTATCTGGTGGGTTGTGAAATTTCCCAATGTACTCAATACGGACGTATTTTCGTCTACTTAAAAACCTTTGCAATTGTAATGCTGTGCATCTCGTCTGTGTACATTTTCATAGAAAGCATATTCTCCCACGAGCTGGATTACTTGAGAAACATCATGCAGGACGAGACCGCTTGGGGCTACATACAAAAAATGCATCAAGTCGCACCAAGGATTGGCATGGTCGTGGAGTGCTATCATTTTGAGACGCGCACGCGTGTCGTGTATTACACGGACGCAAATGGCAACAGGCAGTCCCGCACAGAAACTTATACCGAGAGGGTTGTGACATTCGTAGACCACGGTGAATTCTCGTTCGGCTCGTGGGTTGATATTTCCAAAAGAGAAATGCCAGCACTGAGTACAGTGTCTCTTACTCGAGTAAGAATTGATCCGTATGTCTTGTTTGGTGATCAGGAGACAGCAGATGATTACGAGAGACAAGCAGCAGCCATGATAGAAAGAAATCGTCACCGAGATGCTTTTACGGATTTCTCAGCAAGTAGAGAAATTCCTGGGCTGAAGAAGAGGATCTCTGCTTATGTGGATTTGAGGGTGAAGCCTTGGTGGATTCGACCTCTGTTTTTTTGGCTGGCCACGCTGTTGCAGATGAGTTGGCCTTATCGCTGGCTGTTCAGAGCAAAAACCAGTAAAAAATACTATGCTCTAAAGAAGAAATTGTATAAGAGTACAACGCCCCCAAGAGAAGTAGACATTATGGATCCAATAGCAATGTTGGCGGGTAGTGCATCGTCCAATGACTCCAGCGTCCNGATATTTCCAAAAGAGAAATGCCAGCACTGAGTACAGTGTCTCTTACTCGAGTAAGAATTGATCCGTATGTCTTGTTTGGTGATCAGGAGACAGCAGATGATTACGAGAGACAAGCAGCAGCCATGATAGAAAGAAATCGTCACCGAGATGCTTTTACGGATTTCTCAGCAAGTAGAGAAATTCCTGGGCTGAAGAAGAGGATCTCTGCTTATGTGGATTTGAGGGTGAAGCCTTGGTGGATTCGACCTCTGTTTTTTTGGCTGGCCACGCTGTTGCAGATGAGTTGGCCTTATCGCTGGCTGTTCAGAGCAAAAACCAGTAAAAAATACTATGCTCTAAAGAAGAAATTGTATAAGAGTACAACGCCCCCAAGAGAAGTAGACATTATGGATCCAATAGCAATGTTGGCGGGTAGTGCATCGTCCAATGACTCCAGCGTCCCGAACCAAATATCTTATCCCATGACGGAGATCGTCAATCCAGGCATAGGTAACCCCGCCTTCCAAAACGGCTGCGCACCTTATCCATCTGGCAATCCAACTTTGGGACCTGGCTTCTCGGCCGCACCCCAACCAAGTGCACCCCCTGCAACATACGTCACAGGCACCCTACACCTATCTCCAAATGCACCGAATGCTGCCGGACCTCCTGTGTATAGTTCTTATCCCACCGGTGGAGCTGCGTATCCTACCCAGCCACCCGGACCTGTCTACCCTCCGTATTCTATCGTACCGCAGCCAGACGAGCCCCCGCCCTCTTACGATGCTGCTGTAGGATACACTCCTGACATTCCCCAAGCAAGTAACGAGAAAAACTCCCCTGGGACTTGATGCCTCTAAAAAACGGCTGTCGAGAAAATATAAGAGAAAAACAACTTATCTATAGTGTCACCTGGAAGCTTTTAAGAGTTTTCTTTATTCCCTCATGTAATCCTGAGTCTCCTGAGTGCATCCATAACTCAGCTGTACACCATGAAGCGTTTTAATACCATGTGTTTTATAAGGAAATTTAAGAGGAAACGTTTGAATATGTTAACTGATAATAAGGAAAAGAGGTGACTGTTGTTGTTGTTGTTGTTGTCATCTCTGTGAGCTGTGCGGGCTATGGCGTGAGATCATTCTTTGCAAAGTTGTTTTCTCTCAATAACAATTTTTCGGTAAATTAATAGTTTTCCAGCACCTAAATATGGATTTTACAATCATTTTAGAATACACTTTCTCTCAGTTTTAGGATAAAAACATAAGCTTAACTGTGAGGAAAAAATATATAGTCACGTAAACATTGACGCATACTGCTTTGAGCGCGCCCTACAATAATAAACTTTTAAGTTAACTGCTGCACCGATCGCTTTGATAATAATATAAAACAATCAGTTCATGCTGCAGCTGTGCGTATGTCGAGATATTGAGCACTTGGGAAGTTTGGAGAGCACTCAAGAGGCTAGAGTTGCACGAGGCGCACTCTTACGCCTCTTTCGTGCTCTCCAAACTTCCCGCGTGCTCAATATCTCGACATACGCACGCTGACGCATGAACTAATTGTTAAGTAGAGGACAACAATACTTAACAACTTGTTTCTGTGAAATAACTAAACGGAATGTCTTTCCTCTAGTCACCTGGCATAAAAGTTTTTTCAGGTTAGGTTATTTTGGTGGAAAGGATATAGAAACAGGTCGCCTTTGGCGCAAACAAAAACCCTGAACTGAGAGAACGAAAATTATATACAATATTATAAGGTTTTGCATTATCTTCTTTCAAATTGAGTAACTGGAAATTTTCTGTAATATCGTACCCGGACCGATCTTGTAACCAGAAATCAAGGAATATCATTGATTTTTAATGTGTTACGTATTTCAATATTTTAAAAGTTACTATATCACGGATTTTAAAATGAACAAAAAATAAACTGAAAGGTGATTGCTTTCAAAACATAATTTCATTTTAAATTATATATTTTTTTGATTTCAATAAAAATTTCTCCACAGAACACTCCCACCTCTCCAGCACTGAGAAGGGCTCCTTATCCCCGTCCACATCAGTGACCGATCCAGAGGAGGGGCCCGGGGGGCTCGGCCCCTTCGTTATTTTTTGACCAAACTGAAGCCCGAAGGGCCGAAAAAAATTGGGGGGGGGACCCCTCCCTTATCTCAAGGTCTGGATCCGACACCGCACATGCACATGCACGATGACCGCTGTAGAGTGAATTGTTTTGATACCAGGAGCCCATGCTGTGACTCTGTAAAACATACAGATGGTTTTGCTGGCTTATAAAAATATTCACCAATGTTCAGAATAAGACAGAAGGGAAGTTTCCCTTATTTGTTATTGTCAGTACAAATCGATATCAGAATCTAAACCGTCGAATAAAACGGCATCTAAATGGCTTTAGAAGGGAAAAGACAGTAAAAAAAAGAACACCACACAAGGAGAGTTATTTTAATCCTCTTTTTGTCCAAAATGGAATTTAGGACGTATTTTATTTATTTTCATACATTCTCTTATACACAGCCCAGCAAACTCCCATAGAGTCTGGGCGGCCTGTGGGTACGAAGGCTAGTCACGACAGAACTGAAGAGAACATAGGAAAGAGAATTTCATTTTACATGTCGTTGCCATCGAAAGACGTGAACCGAAGAACGAGTTTCGTTTCGTTTTTCTAAACTGAGATAAAATCATTAAGAATTGACTTATCAATCAACCGTAATTCGCCAACATTTGACTATTTGAACCATATGTGGGCTGAGTTTGTTGTTGGTTCTCTCCCTTGCTCCGAGAGGTTTTTATCCGAGTACTCCGGTTTTCCGCTGTCTTTAAAAACCAACCCTTCCAAATTCCAATTCGATCTGGAACGCACGCACACATTTCAACGAGTTTTTAAGAACTCCTAAGTGCTCCATAGGCAAACAAATTACAAATCCACAATTTTGCAAAATTTAAAACCAGATGAAATACACAGAGATGAAATTTGAACAGCACGAATTGACTTTTTATTTAAGAGACGTTTTCACTTCCTTTAACTGAACCAAGTTCGTGATTCCTAAAGGAAGCTTGAGGCAAGGCACGTACAGGAAGTAGCAGAGGAACAAATTGTCAGTTGCATCTTGTCCGAGAAACGACGGATTGTTTTGCGGTTGGAAAAGAAGACCAGGATTGCATTTATTTGGTAATACAAGATGATTTAATATGGTAAACTAAATGTATCTAACGTTTCGATACATGCAGTGCTCGGTAGGCAACATTACAATACATTAAAGTGCCCATCACCTAAAATTTTTATATTTTCTTATCTGAAACTATACCTTATTAAAATAACTTCTGCGAAAAAATTTTGCGGTGTGAACAAAACGTGATTTTTTTTACCAATTTTTGAAGTCTACATTTTTGCGGTACACCCGCGCCGCTGATCATGCAAACTAGCAGGCTAAATTAAGGAAGTCGCATTACCCAGCGGTACACAAAAAAGATAAATTACAAGTAAGGATTGAATCACAATCTCTTCGCAAGAAGAAAGTTTTTTTGAAAAAGAAAAACCTATCAGAACTCTTAATGTTTTCCTGTCGATAAGGTCACGTGTTCCTTAAAGTACGCCATATAACGCCATACTCCGAGAGAAGACTAACACTAATGGTGTGCAAAAATGGCGGCAAATTTGAACTTTTTTAAAAAATTATAAAAAAATCGTCTTTGGTTCAAATCGCAAATTTTTTTCGCAGAAGTTATTTTAATAATGTTTANAAACTATACCTTATTAAAATAACTTCTGCGAAAAAATTTTGCGGTGTGAACAAAACGTGATTTTTTTTACCAATTTTTGAAGTCTACATTTTTGCGGTACACCCGCGCCGCTGATCATGCAAACTAGCAGGCTAAATTAAGGAAGTCGCATTACCCAGCGGTACACAAAAAAGATAAATTACAAGTAAGGATTGAATCACAATCTCTTCGCAAGAAGAAAGTTTTTTTGAAAAAGAAAAACCTATCAGAACTCTTAATGTTTTCCTGTCGATAAGGTCACGTGTTCCTTAAAGTACGCCATATAACGCCATACTCCGAGAGAAGACTAACACTAATGGTGTGCAAAAATGGCGGCAAATTTGAACTTTTTTAAAAAATTATAAAAAAATCGTCTTTGGTTCAAATCGCAAATTTTTTTCGCAGAAGTTATTTTAATAATGTTTAGTTTCAGATAAGAAAATAATAAATTTTAGGTGATGGGCACTTTAAGGTGGACAAAATCCTACGGTGCCTGCACAGTTCAAATGAGACCTCTTTGGCAGACCTTAGGCATAGCGTTATTTACCTTTAAGAATTTTATCAAAAATTATATTTGAAATTTTTTAGTATTTACTGTGCACCAATCAGCCAGGTGAAAGAGCCGTTTAACACCGTTGTTTAATTTCTAGAGGAAGAGAGCACAAGACAAATGTTAACGCTCTTAACGAGAAACTCTTAAGTTCAATACACACGTATCAGGTAAAAACTGCTTCCATATATTTTTTCACTCACAAAATTAAAAACGTGTGATATCTATCGTACATCACAATATATCCTTTGTGTTTAGCCACTTCCGCTTCAATATGTGCCAGGCGGTTTAGCTAAACTCATTCAAATCCTCATATACACTGACTGTCACACCGGATAAAACAGTATGTGTCAGTCAATTTCTTCTTGTTGCGACATACTGTAGTTATAGGACTACAGAAATATTTTCGCATTCATTTAGTTCTGCCCCTCAGAGTAGATAATTGTAAGAGATCATGATGCAGATGATTGCACGGCTACTTCTTTTACTGTGGATTTTGTGCAGCGTGTTGGTCGCATTCTCCAATTGCAGAACTTTGTGCTCAAGGATTTTCTTTCAAAATATCAATGAAGAAACCATGCCTTACAAAGTCATTGAAGGTGTATACACCAAGGAGAATTACAGTCACAACAACTTCCCTGTGTATCGGCGAGAAAATGGCGATCTGCTGTTTTACTATAATACATCCACGGAAGTCCAAAAAAGTTTGATTTTTGGACTTAATCTAAGCGACTACTTTGGCGTCGCTGCTGATGTTTATAGCACTGTTGATCCTGTGTCGTGGCTGACTTCAAGGAGTTTGGATAGAAGTGATGTCTTTGGAGGATTAATAAGCTATTGGCAATTTTGGAACATGCGCGATAAAAGGAATGGCTATGTCACAGTTAGTAGTTCGTCACCTATGATTAAAGCTGTATGCGTGGATGAAGATTTCAGAGAATGTAACTCGGATAGACTCTACTTGAATGACAATTTCACCGATGGAAGGGGGAATGTTGTGAACGATCTCACTCGAGATTATTTCTTTCGCAAGCAAGGTGTCTTCCGTAACCTTCGCCCTGTGTATCAGCATAGTAGACAAACGTGGTATCTTCAATACACTGCAGACGGCTTCTGGGTGGTAACAGAAAGGTACTCACCAAGCAATTCAAATGATAACGTTTTAATGAAGACTAAAGATTTTGCCCTGCGACCAGAGTACATCAGCAAGACTTGGTCGGTCCATTACAATGGATGGCGTTATATGCCTAAACTGAGAGTCTTGTGTAGAGGAGTAAATTCAATGTCGAATACTTGTCTATCAAAGCCATGTAATAGCAAAGCTACATGCATCTACACTTCCGGTAACGAAACACTTTGTCTCTGTCCTTCCGGTTACACCGGTGTGACATGCTCTAGCAACAAACAGTGCCCCACTCCCTACCTCTTATCTGGCACAGAACTAAACTTTGCATATCCAGGAAGAAGGCCTGGCGATCTCGGTTTTTCCTTCTGCAGTGGACCGTATCCTTCTGTAAGGTTTTCCCTCTGTGTGGATATGAAATACAGCGCTAATCCTTACTGGAGTAAACAAGGGAAAGCCTGCCGTAGAGGGAATACTGACAGCGATTCTTTTCCCTGGAAACCTTGGTATGCACCAACCCTGGAGGTCTGGACACCTTGGAATAGACAAACGAGCGAGAGGTCCTGGAGACCTTGGTATCCATCTACCCCCGAGGTCTGGACACCTTGGTATAGTGAAACCACCGAGAGGCCCTGGCCTCCTTGGTATCCACGAACTCGAGCTCGAAGTGTTAACTTTGATGACAACAGTACTGGTGTAATCGTGCCCGTGGTTCTTACTTCCGCCGCACTTCTAGAATTGTTCCTGCCACTTATTATCTACTGCTGCGCTGTTTGCAAAAAAAAAAGTAAGGAAAGAAGAGAAGAACTCGAAGATCGTAGGACGTTAATGGAAGTTAGCGGAGAATTAGAAAGGAGACTGGAACAAATTGCTAGGGCCGAAAGCCAAGAGGAACTCGATCGTGGTGTTCAGGATTACCAGCAAACCGTCCAGGAATATCAATGTGAGAACGAAGGCAAAGAACTGAGCCGCAAACGAGGCTTGTACAGGAATGCAAGTTTATGGCGAATCATTTCCATGCACTTGTTTTTTTCCTTTTACCTATGGATCGTGTATCTGGTCGGTTGTGAAATTTCCCAGTGTACTCAATATGGACGTATTTTCGTCTACTTAAAAATCTTTGGGTTTGTTATGCTGTGCATCTCGTTGGTGTACATTTTCATAGAAAGCATCTTCTCCCACGAGCTGGATTACTTAAGAAACATCATGCAGGACGAGACCGCATGGGGATACATACAAAATATGCAGCAAGTCGCACCCAGAATTTTCATGGTCGTGGAGTGCTATCATTTTGAAACGCGTACCCGTGTCGTGAACTACACAGACGCGAATGGAAACACGCAGTCTCGCACAGAAACTTATACCGTGAGGGTTGTGACATTCGTAGACCACGATGAATTCTCGTTCGGCTCGTGGGTTGACATTTCCAAAAGAGAAATGCCAGCACTGAGTACAGTGTCTCTTACTCGAGTAAGAATTGATCCGTATGTCTTGTTTGGTGATCAGGAGACAGCGGATGATTTCGAGAGACAAGCAGCAGTCATGATAGAACGGAATCGTCACCGAGATGCCTTTACGGATTTTTCATCGAGTGGGGAAATTCCTGGGCTAAAGAAGAGGTTTTCTGCTTATGTGGATTTTAGGGTGAAGCCTTGGTGGATTCGACCACTGTTCTTTTGGCTGGCCACGCTGTTGCAGATGAGTTGGCCTTATCGCTGGCTGTTCAGAGCCAGGACCAGTAAATGTTACTATGCTCTAAGGAAGAAATTGTACAAGAGTACCACACCCCCACGAGAAGTAGACACTATGGATCCAATAGCAATGCTGGCGGATGATGCATGGTCCAGTGACTCCAGCGACCCGAACCATATGTCTAATTGCATGACGGAGATCGTCAATCCAGGCATAGGTAACCCCGCCTTCCAAAACGGCTGCGCACCTTATCCACCTGGCAATCCAACTTTGGGACCTGGCTTCTCGGTCGCACCCCGACCAACATCCCCTGCAACATACGACGCAGGTACTCCACACCCATCGCCAAATGCACCGAATATTCTCGGACCTCCTGTGTATAGTTCCTATCCCACCGGTAAAACTGCGTATCCTACCCAGTCACCCGGACCTGTCTACCCTCCTTATTCTTTGGTACCGCAGCCAGACGCACCCCCGCCATCATACGATTTTTCGTATGATAGGATACACTCCTGATATTCCCCAAGCAAGTAACGAGAAAAACTCCCCTGCGCCTTGATGGCTCAAAAAAAGGCTGTCGAGAAAATATAAGAGAAAAACAACATATCTCTAGTGTTACCCGGAAGCTTCTAACAGTTTCTTTCTTCATTTATGTAGTAAAACGAAATGGAAATGAAAAAGATAAGTAGTTATATACGCTAAGAAAGGAGCAGCGATGGAAATCTGTTCACACAAAAACCTGATTGTTTTCATCGAAACGCATCCATTTGAAATCGCTCTTGGAAGTGGACGCTCGAAAACGGAGTGAAAACGAATCAAAATGAAACGATGTCGTCATTCAGAGGACAAAGGGATATCCTGACTATTCTTAGCGTTAAAACCCGATTTTGTCCCTTCACTATTAAATAGCGCAAAATGTCGTCAGGGCATACAAGTTTGGACGGAAGAAGTGTTAAATGATTGGCGATAAACGCCCTACATTTGTGGTACCAACAATATATTTTTTACAAAAAAAATCATATTCCATGATCGAAGTAGCCTAAGAGAACAGCCGACATCTCGCGGGGAAGCCAGTAGTGGCGTCGCCGAATGTTAACCTGCGAACGCAGACGTATAGCGACGACCGGAAATACGTCTGCTTTCGCAGGCTACGAAATGTCATCTGTTTCCTCGTTTGCTAGGCTATGATTAGTCTGCTTAATAGGGGCGAAATGCCCCGTTCGCCTCGCTTGGCTCTTAAGCGCTTGTTATGCAGCTTAGTATGATCGCAGTTTAAATAATTGCCTAACTGATTGTATGCGAAACAAAATGAATCAGAGTCATCAAATGAGGTCTCTTGTTTTAAACACGGTAGCCAAATGAACAATTCTTGCATGTATTAAACAGGGTTTTTAGGCCTCAGGGACACACCTCTACCCACCTTTGCCTGAGTCCCCCTCCCCCTCCCCCGCCTCCCCCATTAACCCCATGTCAGATGAAGTTTTTTTCCGAGAAACGGCAGGAAAAATTAATGTTTGATAGCTTCATGCTTTGTTCAATATATCTAGGTTAAGCTATTAAAGACCGTTTACCAGTTCTTAACGAGCTAGAAATTCAGATGTCTCGAACATCAGTAACATTTAACTTTCAAACTGTGGGGTCATCTGTTTCGTCTCGGCTTCTGTTACAAACAAGGAAATAGAGGAGACGTCTACACGCAGGCTAGGTCCTCACTCGTTGCAAATTGATACCCTTCATATCAGTAACTTCCGCTAAAAAATAGGTCAGTCGATTACTGCTTTCGATACTGCATATTGCGACATTTGAAAGCCGTTTCTGAGAAAATTATCATTCAGAGCCTTCTTCGGAGATCACGATGGCACGGCTACTACTTTTACTGTTGATTTTGTGTAGCAGGGGCGGATCTAGGGGGAGGGTGCAGGGGGTGCGCACCCCCCCCCCCTTCCCCTGAGATGACCTGCGGTTTTCTACAACTGGTATTCTGCAAAAAAAAACTATGTGGTTTATTGGTGTTGAAGTAGAGCAAGAGACGAGTGCATCCCCTCCTAAAAAAAATCCTGGATCCGCCCCTGTGTAGCATGTTGATCGCATTCTGCAGTTGCAGAAATTTGTGCTCAAGGATTTTCTTTCAAAACATCAATGAGGGAACCATGCCTTACAAAATCATTGAAGGTGCATACACCAAGGAGAATTACAACCACAACAACTTCCCAGTGTATAGGCAAGAAAACGGCAATCTACTGTTTTACTTTCATATTTCCAAGAAAGGCCAGAAATATTTGTCTTTTGGACTTAATCTAAAAGACTACTTTGGCGTTGCCGCTGCTGTTTTTGGCGCTGTTGATCCTGTGTCTTGGCTGAGCTCCGGGAGTTTAAATAGAAGTGATGTCTTTGGAGGATTGGTATACAAGTGGATGTTCTACCACACGCGTCACAAAACCAATTACTATGTTACAGTTAGTAGTTCGTCACCTATGATTAAAGCTGTATGCGTGGATGAAGATTTCAGAGAATGTAACTCGGACAGACTTTACCTGAATGACCATTTCACCGATGGAAAGGGGAATGTTGTAAACGATCTCACTCGAGATTATTTCTTTCGCAAGCAAGATCTCTTCCAGAACCTTCGCCCTGTGTATCAGCATAGTAGACAAAAGTGGTACCTTGAATACATAAACGGCCTCTGGATGATAACAGAGTATTTCCCCAGGCAATCAGTAGTTTTTAACATTTTATTGAAGACTAAAGATTTCGCCCTACGACCAGAGTACATCAGTAAGACTTGGTCGGTCCCTTTCAATGGATGGCGCGAAATGCCTGTTAGACTCTAATGTAGAGGGTTGAGATCGATGTCAAATACATGTCCATCGAAGCCATGTAATAGCAAAGCTTCATGCATCTACACTTTCGGTAAGGAGACACTTTGTCTCTACCCTTCCGGTTACACAGGCGTGACATGCTCTACCAACAAACAGTGCCCCACTCCTTACCCCTTAGCAGGAAGAGAAGTGAAATTTGCATACTTTGGAAAAAGACCTGGCGATATCGGTTTTTCCTTCTGTAGTGGATCGTATCCTTCTGTAAGGTTTTCCCTTTGTAGGGACAGCAACTACAGTAATCCTTACTGGTTTAAAGTTGGGGGCGACTGCCATAGAGTGAATACTGGACGTACTTCTCCCCCCTGGTCATCTTGGAACCCAGGAAAAACCCAAAGTCCCTGGAAACCTCCCAAGGCTCGAGCTCGCCATAACTTTGATAACAATCCTATAATCGTCTCCGTGGTTCTTACTTCCGTCGCGCTTCTGGAATTGCTCCTGCCATTTATCATCTACTGCTGCGCTGTGTGCAAGAAAAAAAGTAAAGAAGACAGAGAAGAACAAGAACAATAACTAAACGGAATGTCTTTCCTCTAGTCACCTGGCATAAAAGTTTTTTCAGGTTAGGTTATTTTGATGGAAAGGATATAGAAACAGGTCGCCTTTGGCGCAAACAAAAACCCTGAACTGAGAGATCGAAAACTATATACAATATGATAAGGTTTTGCATTATCTTCTTTCAAAATAAGTAACTAGAAATATTCTGTAATATCGTACCCGGACCGATCTCGTACCCAGAAATCAAGGAATATCATTGATTTTTAGGTGTGTTACGTATTTCAATATTAATTTTCAAAGTTAACTCTATCACGTATTTTAAAATGAATAAAAAATAAACTGTAAGGTGATTCCCTTCCAAACAATTTAATTTTAAATTATAATTTTTTTGATTTCAATAAAAATTGACCACAGAACACTCCCACCTCTCCAGCACTGAGAAGGACTACTTATCCCCGTCCACATCAATGGCGAATCCAGAGAGCCCGGGGGGGTTGGACCCCTACCCCTTATTTTTAGACCAAACTGAGGTGCGAAGGGCAGAAAAAAGTTTTTTGAGAGTGACGGAAGCTTTTTCCACGTTGAAACGAATTTAAAACTCAACGGGAACTCGGTGCTTGACTCACGATAAAACTGGGGAAAAATAGACTCAAATGGCAATTCGCTTGCGGAAAAGAGCCGTCACTTCTCTTGAGGTCCGGGATCTGACTACTAACTGTTACAGCAGTAGATAAAACAGAACTAAACTTGGTTCCAAAAGCGTTTATTCTTGTACACGTAATGATCAAGTAAACCGGCGATGTAATCGAAAAATCAGTTTAAAGCAACTTACTTATATATGATTTTTACAACCATTGAAGACAAAAGAATACAATAGAAATATAAACAGAAATCACTTAGAGTTAAATGAAAACTAAATACAAATTCTATTTTTAACCTGAAATCTTTTGTTACTGTTGCTATTTTAGAAAGTAAAAGTACTGAGACAAAGACCTTGCCAGGTCAGCAAAACAGCGTTTATGTTCAAAGTATTACAATATGAATTAAATTGCAAGGTCAGCTATCGGCTGTTTAAACAGGAAAAGCGCAGACTAATTGGAATCTATTATTAAAATTACAAGACAGCAAAACCTTTCATATTCCAAATTCGGTTATCACCTCTCCTTAACTAACAACTTAATGAAATATACTTTTGCAAATGAACATTGCTAAGTTGTAATTAGAACGAGGTACACCTATATCAAAGGCGTTACTGTGAATAGATGTCGTCTGGTAGTTAAAATCACGAAAAATAGACTGAAGTCAAATAAACCATTATTAAGAAATTAAGTATTCTTTCAAGAGTCAACATTGACGTAAAATGTATATAATTGAAAAGAGAACGAGCAATTAGTTTTGTTTGTTAAGGAACACTGTTGGCTTTTCTATGATTATTACCTAGCGAACACAAAGCAAATGAAACAGAGGATAATAAAAATGGCACGAGCCCTTTTTGCGGAGCTTAAACCTCTTTATGCAAATTCAGTATGGATTACTAAAAACAACGTCAAAGCGAATATTTGAAAGCTATATATGACACTCGAGGCAAACAAAGAATTCATGGAGAATCTCTCCTTACATGAGACCTCCCCGCTTCCCTTATGTCATAGCCTGTCGTAGCAAGCGGTTCCGCGCGAGTTCGTAAAGAAAACTGGAACGAGGGCAAAAAAAGGAATGAAGGGGGAGGGGGAGGGGAGTGAAGGAACTCCTCCCTTCCCCCTCCCCCCTTCCATTTTTTTTTGCTCCCGCTCCAAATTTCGCGCTATAACTCGACTGGAAACGCTTGCTACGCAGGCTACTTATGTCAGGGTCTGGATGCGCCCCCCTTATCTGAAGGTCTGAATCCGCCATTGAATTGTCTGTGACTCTGTAAGACATAGAGATGGGTTTGCTGACTTATAAAATCTTCACCAATGTTCACCATAAGAAATGAGGGAAGTTTCCCTTAATTCTTATTGTCAGTACAAATCAATATCAGAATCTAACTAAAACGTCGAATAAAAAGACGTCTAAATGGCTTTAGAAGAATATAACACCACACAAGGAGAGTTATTGCTATTTTTGTCCAAAATGGAATTTAGGACGTATTTTATTTATTTTCATACATTCTCTTATACAAAGCCCAGCAAACTCCCATAGAGTCTGGGCTGCCTGTGGGTACGAAGGCTAGTCACGAGAGAACTGGAGAAAACATAGAAAAGAAAATTTCATTTTACATGTCGTTACGATCGAAAGACGTGAACCGAAGAACGAGTTTCGTTTCCTTTTTCTAAACTGAGATAAAATCATTAAGAATTAACATATCAATTAACCGTAATTCGCCAACATTTGGCTATTTGAACCATATGTGGGCTGAGTTTGTTGTTGGTTCTCTCCCTTGCTCCGAGAGGTTTTTATCCGAGTACTCCGGTTTTCCCCTGTCCTTAAAAACCAACCCTTCCAAATTCCAATTCGATCTGGAACGCACGCACACGTTTCAACGACTTTAAGAACTGCTAAGTGCTCCGTAGGCAAGCAATTACAAATTACAAATCTACAATTTTACAAATTCTACAACCAGATGAAATAAAAGTGATGAAGTTTGAACAGCACGAATTGACTTTTTGTTTAAGAGACGTTTTCACTTCCTTTGCCCAAGTTCGTGATTCCTAAAGGAAGCTTGAGGCAAGGCACGTACAGAAAGTAGCAGACGAACAAATTGTCAGTTGCATCTTGTCCGAGAAACGACGGATTATTTTGCGGTTGAAAAAGACGACCAGGATTGTAGAAATTTGGTAATACAAGATTATTTGATATGATAGAGCGGTTTTCATTTGAGTGTCGAAAAGTAATTGGTTTTGCACTTTCTACACGATGCCATTGGCTTAAAAGATTCACGCCACCTTTTCATCCAATCAGAAGTAAAACCAAAGCCAATTGTGACGCGCTCGCATGCATTTTCCCGCGCTTTGCGTCAGCCACATGTAATTACTTCGAGTTTTGATTGGTTCAATGTATTGCCTGTGTCCTATGTGATTGGCCAGAGTAATTACTTTGGTTTTGGTTTTACGACACTCAAACGAAAACCACTCTAAACTGAATGTATCCAACCTTTGGATACGTACGTACAGCCTGCTCGGTAGGCATCACTAGAATACATGAAGGTGGACAAAATCCTACTGCGGTGCCTGCACCGTTCAAATGAAACCTCTTAGACAGACCTTAGGCATAGTATTATTTAACAATTAATGAATGAGGCTGAGTATCTTATGAACAATTAAGGAGATCGAGGAGGGTGTTACGGCCTCGACGCATAACACCCTCCGAGATCTCCATAATTCTTCATATGATACGAAAGCGGAATTCAATAATTATTATATTATTCATTCAAAATAATTCCCAGTTTAAAAACAAAGCTAAAACATGCTTACCTCCATCGATGTTAAGTTCACCTTCGATAGTGCACGCTTAGGGTTGTTCAGCTCCGCAAATATTCTCCAATTAATAGCAGATGTCGCCCTTTGAGTTGTGTTCTTGCTGTTCTTGCCATGTTTTTAGCTATAATTTCGCCTAGTAGACGTCTATAGTTCTTACCCTTGAAACGAGTGAAATGTCCGCCATTTTTGTTCTCACAACCAAAACAACTCAACCTCGTCCCCGGGTCTTCTCTGTTAACGGTGCATTAACCTGCAAGAACGCTGCATTTTTGATGTCTTTTCCTCGTTAAACACAAAATTCTTCCAAATCGGTCATCATTAAATGGTTATGGTGAATTACGCATGTGCTTTTAGCCAATCAGAATCGGGGAAATATTTTGAATGAATAATAATTACCCTTAAGAATTTATCAAAAAAGATATTTGGAATTTTTGAGTATTTTATACAGTGCACCGATCAGCCAGGTGAAAGAGCCGGTTAACACCGTGTTTAATTTATAGAGGAAGAGAGCACAAGACAAATGTTAACGCTCTTAACGAGAAGCTCTTGAGTTCAATATCAGGCAAAAATTGATTCCATATATATGGGCAGTGAACATGAGGATTTGAATGAGTTTGGCTAAATTACCTGGCAAAAATTGAAGCGGAATTAAAATAAACGTGTGATATGTATCGTACATCACAATATATCCTTTGTGTTTAGCCACTTCCGCTTCAATATTTGCCAGGTGGTTTAGTTAAACTCATTCAAATCCTCATATACACTGACTGTCACACCGAATAAAACAGTATGTGTCAGTCAATTTCTTCTTGTTGCGACATACTGTAGTCCTAATATAGGACTACAGAAATATTTTCGCATTCATTTAGTTCAGTCTGCGCCCTGAGTAGATTATGGTAAGAGATCATGATGCAGATATTCTTTCAAGAGTCAACATTGACGTAAAATGTATATAATTGAAAAGAGAACGAGCAATTAGTTTTGTTTGTTAAGGAACACTGTTGGCTTTTCTATGATTATTACCTAGCGAACACAAAGCAAATGAAACAGAGGATAATAAAAATGGCACGAGCCCTTTTTGCGGAGCTTAAACCTCTTTATGCAAATTCAGTATGGATTACTAAAAACAACGTCAAAGCGAATATTTGAAAGCTATATATGACACTCGAGGCAAACAAAGAATTCATGGAGAATCTCTCCTTACATGAGACCTCCCCGCTTCCCTTATGTCATAGCCTGTCGTAGCAAGCGGTTCCGCGCGAGTTCGTAAAGAAAACTGGAACGAGGGCAAAAAAAGGAATGAAGGGGGAGGGGGAGGGGAGTGAAGGAACTCCTCCCTTCCCCCTCCCCCCTTCCATTTTTTTTTGCTCCCGCTCCAAATTTCGCGCTATAACTCGACTGGAAACGCTTGCTACGCAGGCTACTTATGTCAGGGTCTGGATGCGCCCCCCTTATCTGAAGGTCTGAATCCGCCATTGAATTGTCTGTGACTCTGTAAGACATAGAGATGGGTTTGCTGACTTATAAAATCTTCACCAATGTTCACCATAAGAAATGAGGGAAGTTTCCCTTAATTCTTATTGTCAGTACAAATCAATATCAGAATCTAACTAAAACGTCGAATAAAAAGACGTCTAAATGGCTTTAGAAGAATATAACACCACACAAGGAGAGTTATTGCTATTTTTGTCCAAAATGGAATTTAGGACGTATTTTATTTATTTTCATACATTCTCTTATACAAAGCCCAGCAAACTCCCATAGAGTCTGGGCTGCCTGTGGGTACGAAGGCTAGTCACGAGAGAACTGGAGAAAACATAGAAAAGAAAATTTCATTTTACATGTCGTTACGATCGAAAGACGTGAACCGAAGAACGAGTTTCGTTTCCTTTTTCTAAACTGAGATAAAATCATTAAGAATTAACATATCAATTAACCGTAATTCGCCAACATTTGGCTATTTGAACCATATGTGGGCTGAGTTTGTTGTTGGTTCTCTCCCTTGCTCCGAGAGGTTTTTATCCGAGTACTCCGGTTTTCCCCTGTCCTTAAAAACCAACCCTTCCAAATTCCAATTCGATCTGGAACGCACGCACACGTTTCAACGACTTTAAGAACTGCTAAGTGCTCCGTAGGCAAGCAATTACAAATTACAAATCTACAATTTTACAAATTCTACAACCAGATGAAATAAAAGTGATGAAGTTTGAACAGCACGAATTGACTTTTTGTTTAAGAGACGTTTTCACTTCCTTTGCCCAAGTTCGTGATTCCTAAAGGAAGCTTGAGGCAAGGCACGTACAGAAAGTAGCAGACGAACAAATTGTCAGTTGCATCTTGTCCGAGAAACGACGGATTATTTTGCGGTTGAAAAAGACGACCAGGATTGTAGAAATTTGGTAATACAAGATTATTTGATATGATAGAGCGGTTTTCATTTGAGTGTCGAAAAGTAATTGGTTTTGCACTTTCTACACGATGCCATTGGCTTAAAAGATTCACGCCACCTTTTCATCCAATCAGAAGTAAAACCAAAGCCAATTGTGACGCGCTCGCATGCATTTTCCCGCGCTTTGCGTCAGCCACATGTAATTACTTCGAGTTTTGATTGGTTCAATGTATTGCCTGTGTCCTATGTGATTGGCCAGAGTAATTACTTTGGTTTTGGTTTTACGACACTCAAACGAAAACCACTCTAAACTGAATGTATCCAACCTTTGGATACGTACGTACAGCCTGCTCGGTAGGCATCACTAGAATACATGAAGGTGGACAAAATCCTACTGCGGTGCCTGCACCGTTCAAATGAAACCTCTTAGACAGACCTTAGGCATAGTATTATTTAACAATTAATGAATGAGGCTGAGTATCTTATGAACAATTAAGGAGATCGAGGAGGGTGTTACGGCCTCGACGCATAACACCCTCCGAGATCTCCATAATTCTTCATATGATACGAAAGCGGAATTCAATAATTATTATATTATTCATTCAAAATAATTCCCAGTTTAAAAACAAAGCTAAAACATGCTTACCTCCATCGATGTTAAGTTCACCTTCGATAGTGCACGCTTAGGGTTGTTCAGCTCCGCAAATATTCTCCAATTAATAGCAGATGTCGCCCTTTGAGTTGTGTTCTTGCTGTTCTTGCCATGTTTTTAGCTATAATTTCGCCTAGTAGACGTCTATAGTTCTTACCCTTGAAACGAGTGAAATGTCCGCCATTTTTGTTCTCACAACCAAAACAACTCAACCTCGTCCCCGGGTCTTCTCTGTTAACGGTGCATTAACCTGCAAGAACGCTGCATTTTTGATGTCTTTTCCTCGTTAAACACAAAATTCTTCCAAATCGGTCATCATTAAATGGTTATGGTGAATTACGCATGTGCTTTTAGCCAATCAGAATCGGGGAAATATTTTGAATGAATAATAATTACCCTTAAGAATTTATCAAAAAAGATATTTGGAATTTTTGAGTATTTTATACAGTGCACCGATCAGCCAGGTGAAAGAGCCGGTTAACACCGTGTTTAATTTATAGAGGAAGAGAGCACAAGACAAATGTTAACGCTCTTAACGAGAAGCTCTTGAGTTCAATATCAGGCAAAAATTGATTCCATATATATGGGCAGTGAACATGAGGATTTGAATGAGTTTGGCTAAATTACCTGGCAAAAATTGAAGCGGAATTAAAATAAACGTGTGATATGTATCGTACATCACAATATATCCTTTGTGTTTAGCCACTTCCGCTTCAATATTTGCCAGGTGGTTTAGTTAAACTCATTCAAATCCTCATATACACTGACTGTCACACCGAATAAAACAGTATGTGTCAGTCAATTTCTTCTTGTTGCGACATACTGTAGTCCTAATATAGGACTACAGAAATATTTTCGCATTCATTTAGTTCAGTCTGCGCCCTGAGTAGATTATGGTAAGAGATCATGATGCAGATGATTGCACGACTACTTCTTTTACTGTGGATTTTGTGCAGCTTGTTGGTCGCATTCTCCAATTGCAGAACTTTGTGCTCAAGGATTTTCTTTCAAAACATCAATGAAGAAACCATGCCTTACAAAATCATTGAAGGTGTATACACCAAGGAGAATTACAGTCACAACAACTTCCCTGTGTATCGGCGAGAAAACGGCAATCTGTTGTTTTACTATAGCAATATATCCACTGAAGACGAAAAACGTTTGATTTTTGGACTTAATCCAAGCGACTACTTTGGCGTCGCTGCTCATGTCTATAATGCTGTTGATCCTGTGTCGTGGCTGACTTCCGGGAGTTTGGATAGAAGTGATGTCTTTGGAGGATTAATAAGCTTTTGGCAGTTTTGGAACATGAGCAATAAAAGCATTGGCTATGTTACAGTTAGTAGTTCGTCGCCTATGATTAAAGCTGTATGCGTGGATGAAGATTTCAGGGAATGTAACTCAGACAGACTTTACTTGAATGTTATGCTTACCGATGGAAAAGGAAATGTTGTAAACGATCACATTCGGGATTATTTTCTTCGCAAGCCAGGTGTCTTCCGTAACCTTCGTCCTTTGTATGAGCACAGTAGACAAAAGTGGTACCTTCAATACAACCCAGACGGCTTCTGGGTGGTAACTGAAAGGTACGCACCGAGTCGATTACTCGATAACGTTTTTATCAAGACTAAAGATTTCGCCCTGCGACCAGAGTACATCAGCAAGACTTGGTCGGTCCATGATAACAAGGGATGGCGGGATATGCCTAATCTTAGACTCTTGTGTAGAGGAGTAAATTCGATGTTGAATACTTGTCCATCAAAGCCATGTGATAGCAAGGCTACCTGTATCTACACTTTCGGTAAGGAGACACTTTGTCTCTGCCCTTCCGGTTACACAGGCGTGACATGCTATACTAACAAGCCATGCCGCTCCAACATCATAGCTGGAACAGAGCTGAAATTTGCATATTTTGGAAATAGGCCTGGCGATCTCGGCTTATTTTTCTGCAGGGGAAGGTATCCTTCTGTAAGGTTTTCCCTCTGTGTGGATAGCAAATACAGCGCTAAGTGGACTAGACAAGGGAGAGCCTGCCGTGGAGGGAATACTGGCAGCGATTCTTTTCCCTGGACACCCTGGTACAGAAACACCACAGAGAGGTCCTCGTATCAACGAACCGACACCACAGATCAACTTCCCACTGCACAAACTAGTCGTGTCGACTTTGATGCCAACCCTGTAATCTTCCCCGTGGTCCTTTCTTCTTTCGTGCTTCTAAAATTGCTCGTGCCATTTATCATCTACTGCTGCGCCGTGTGTAAGAAAAAAAGTAAGGAAGACAGAGAAGAAAGGGAAGATACGAGGAGGTTACAGGAAGATGACGGGGAATTAGGAACGAGACTGGAACAAGTTGTTAGGGCCGGGAGTCAAATGGAACTTGACAGTGGTATCCAGGATTACCAACCCACCGTCCAGGAATACCAACGTCAAAATGAAAACAGAAAAATGAGCCGCAAAAGAGGATTGCACAGAGATGCGAGTTTATGGCGAATCTTTTCCATGCTCTTGTTTTTTTACTTTCACCTGTGGGTGGTGTACCTGGTGGGTTGTGAAATTTCCCAGTGTACTCGATACGGACGTAGTTTCGTCTACTTAAAAATCTTTGGAATTGCAATGCTGTGGTTCTCATCTGTGTACATTTTCATAGAAAGCATCTTCTCTCGTGAGTTGGATTACTTAAGAAACATTATGCAGGACGAGACCGCTTGGGGCTACATACAAAAAATGCATCAACTCGAACCCAGAATTGACATGGTCGTGGAGTGCTATCATCCCACACGTGATCATTCAAAAGTGGTGACATTCATGGACCGCAAAACATTCTCGTTCGGTTCGTGGGTTGATGTTTCTGAAAGAGAAATGCCAACAGTGAGTACAGTGTGGCTTACTCGAGTAAGAATCGATCCTTATGTCTTGTTCGGTGACCAGGAGACTGCAGATAGTTACGAGAGACAAAGAGCGGCCATGATAAGTAGGAATCGTTTCCGGGATCTATTTACGGATTTCTCAGCGAGTAGAAAAATTCCTGGTCTGAAGAAGAGGATCTCTGCTTATGTTGATTCGAGGGTGAAGCCTTGGTGGATTCGACCTTTGTTTTTTTGGCTGGCCACGCTGTTGCAGATGACTTGGCCTTATCGCTGGCTGTTTAGAGCAAAAACCGGTAAAAGTCATTACGCTCTAAAGAAGTTGATCTATAAGAGCACCACGCCCCAAAGGGAAGTAGACCTGATGAATCCAGTAACAACACTGGCCGATGGTGCAACTTCGGCCACTGACTCCAGCGTCCTGGAAAACAGCCAAATATCTTATCCAATGGCAGAGATCGTTAATACAGGCAGAGGGAGCCCCGCCTACGAAAACGGTTGCCCACCGCGTCCACCAGGCGATCCATCCGTGTGCCCTCCTTTGCCGGTCGCACCCCAACAAAGCGCATCCCCTGCGACTTACGACACTGGCACCTCATATCCACCTCCTCTGAATAATCCTTATCCCACAGGTGGAGCTGCGTATCCTACCCAGCCACCCAGACCTGTCCACCCGCCTTATTCTGTGGTACCGCAGCCAGACGAGCCCCCGCCATCTTACGATGCTGCTGTAGGATTCACTCCTGACATTCCCCAAGCAAGTAACGAGAATATCCACCCTGGGACTTAAGGGTGGTGGAGAGAATATTAGAGAAAAACAAACGTATCTGTAGTGTTACCCGGAAGCCTTTTAAGCGCTATTTTTCTTCCAAACTGGAATAAATTCGCAGTTTTGTTTCTTTGAGAAAAGAGTAGGGATGCATAAGTTTCATCGTTTGAGAGCTCTTGCACCTTTTAACCGGCCTTGTTCATACTACGGCAATACAAAAAAAAAGAAAGAAACTAACTCTTACACTAAATTGCATTGTTTGATTTTTATGGCCAAGATAAGGCGTTATTTTCCGTTCGATTTCTACTTTAAAAGCCACTTAACGTCATGCATATTGCTACACAGTGGAAACGAACATATTGTTTGGGTCGAAAATTCTTTAGAACTTCTGTTTTCCAAAGGAGGCGCCCATTTTCCAGGCTTGTTCGTTCGCAGAGGTTGCAGTTTAAAAATGAGCGTTTATTCGAGGACACACTGTATTTAGCGTTTTCTAGTGATTTAATAACGGTGCTCAGAATAACAGTAGCCAACAACTCTTTTCCATGAAATAACGGTGAAACGGAAGGTTTCACTTGTTGTCACCCAGCATGAAGTTTTTCAGCATGTTCAGCTTAGGTTATTTTGGCCATGGTGGTAAGGACATAGCAAGCCGAATCACCTTTGGTGCAAAGAAAAACCCTGAATTGAGAGAAAATTATATATAGTCTTGTGATTTGAAATTTTCTCTAATGTCGTAACCAGAAATATTTTGAAAGTAATTATGGGTGACGCATTTTGGAATTAAGTTAAGTATACTAGGCATTTTAAAATAAAAATAAATGAAATAAAGATAAGTGGAAGTTATTCCTTTCAAAACAATTACTGTCACGCTATACTCCTACTCCTCAGCCCCCCTCCCCCCCTCCCCCATAACGGTCACTTAGCCCGTGGTGGCCGCTGCAAAGGGACTTGAGCCATAATTATAACTCTGTAGAGGTGATGTTACACGGGACAATTCGCAGCAACGATTTTTAACCCAATTTCCATCAGAAGGAGTTGTTGGAATAGCGCGAGCTTTAGCATCAGGTGCACGCTCTGTGTTGGTGGCATTGTGGGCTATAGAAGATTAGGCAACAGAAAAGTTCATGACCCGTTTCTATATATGAGCGCCTTCTTCATGGCGATAGTGCTAGCGAATCACTTCACCAGGCAATGAAGTGGATGAGGACTAACAAATTTTCTAACGTTGGTCAGAGGGCGCCGTCTATGCTGATTGGAGATAACGTAAAATTTGATTTCCAAATTTAAGGTAATTATACATTTGTTATTTTACTACACGGCAAATGACGAACAGAACAAAAGTTCCGAAACTTGATCGCTGTTTGATAGCCGGGTCAACCTCGTTCCTAGGATCCTCTCAAGAGAGTGAGAACCGTTCGTGTTCCTATAATCATGATTTCGCACGAAATTATCCTTTCTGATTAGCTGACCCTTGGTTTCCGGTAATTTGGATCAGCCTCTCATCACAATGCATGCTATCGTAGACTCGTAGCCAGACACTATCTAAATTTAATAAGGGCGAATAAATGCTAGTGACAAATGGGGAGGAGGCTGTCTTAGCATGCCATGCAGTACTTTTATTTCGTATGTGCTTCACACGGCATTTTTTATTTCAGGAAAAAAAACATTACAGCTCCCAGAATGAAGACGTTGATGAATGAACACTTGTTGGATCCACTACCTGTTTGCATGTCCAATGCATGACATTTGGTTTCTGCGGAAGTGAGAGAGAATGCTCTGAGCTTACAAGCTTTGCACAGGCCAGGAAAGATGGTCATTCATTTATACGTGTCTGGGAAACTGACCCCCAACCCCTCCCCTAAACCAACATTAACACTTACTTCTCACTTAGCGTAAAATTTTGGCTTAGCGGAGGGGTAGGTTATAACAGTGTCGCGCCATGTAAGATAATCCAAGACAGTCTTTGATTGTTGATGCCACTCTTTGGGTTCCGGATTCCAGGTACGGGGTTCCGAAATTCTTGTCAGTGTAATTCCAATCCTTAGCGGGATTCCGGATTCCTTTACTTGAATTAAAGATTCCAAAGCCCAGGATTCCGGATTCCACAAGACAAAATTTTCCAGAGTTCCGAAATTTGGATTACCTTACATGCAGCGAAACCGTGTGTACATTTAACGGTGGGAAAGGGTAAAGCAAGGGAAATAAAACTTGACTGGTGGTGATGGACAACAGAGTCCCATTCAAGTAAACTCCAGTTCTAGCGACCCGATTTTCCTAGTACTAGTAATAATTGCAAATTAGGGGAGTGCGTTCGATGGGGAGGGGGGGTGGGGTGGTGGGTAGTGAGTGGTAGTGGGAAGGGGGTGCAAAACAATGATGGGCTCGTAACAGGCCAGTCCAAGGTGGCGTCCAAACCGTGAATAGAACGGTTACTACTTCATGTACGGTACACAAATAGGAAGCGTTTTCCTTCGTCGAAACGCAATAGACCTATTCGGCTAACTCAATGTTGTACCCAATTCAAATCTCCCGGGGATAAGATTCTTTTTGTATTGTATTTGCATTATAATGTGGCATTCACATTTAAATGATATGGAAATTCCTGAAACAAAACGTTTTATTCCCAAAGGGTTTGAATTGGGTACAACATTGAGCTAGCCGAATAGGTCTATTGACCACTTCAGAAAATACCATATCATACCATAATGCTCTTTGTTTGTCACCCCAAAGTTCTGCATAAGCATTGTCTTCAATTCCTCTTGGGAGTTAAAATGGCCCGAAGAGAAACTGAAAACAATGCTTATGCAAAATTTTGGGGTGACAAACAAAGAGCATTATGGTATGTTGTGGTATTTTCTGGAGTGGTCAGTTAGCCATTTGCACATCTCCCACAATACACCTTGTTTTCCCCCAACCCCGCCCCCCCACAACCCCCTCTCCCAAAAAGTTTGCATAACCTTTGTTTTACCTTTGGGTATTACAGCCGTCCCAAAAGAATTGGATCCCAAAAGGATCATCATGTTTCTAGGAAACTGACCATCTACCCCTCCCCTAAGCTAACACCAACACTTGCTTCACACCTTCTTACTTAGGGCAAAATGTTGGCTTACGGAAGGGGTAGGTTGGTACTTTCCTAGAAACGTATAATGATCCCCAATTTTTGGGGGGCAAACAAGGTGCCTTTTAGGAGATAAGTAAGTGGCGAATCAAAAAACAAGCCAATCCCAGATTCAAATTTACCCCTTCAGGTCCCTCAACAAGAAATCAGCCTGAAAGCAATCTGAACAGTGCTTACTCATAGGGGATTTTTATCGCGTCTTCTGGTCGGTCTTACGGCTACTTTCTTGACTCCCCACCTTTCCTAGGATTTCCCACGCGCCGTTTCCCCTTCTTCTGTGAAACTGTGATAGTAAAGAAGACTTAACGCCAAGCACGTACAGGAACTAAAAGACGGCCTTTTGTTTTCAAGAGTTTGTCCGTTGAATTTTTTTCCGAGACATGAAGGATTTTTTGCGGTAAGAAAAGAATACCAAAGTTGCTGATTTTTAAAATAGTTTTGTATAAACTCTTTCACCCTTATACCATGTAATAGCAGGATGTTTTGCCGCCATAACTTTGTCCACCTCTTAGGTATGTGGACAAAATTCCTTGCTGTTATCATCGAAATGAAACCTTTTTGGTAGCCTGGGAAAACAGACGTTTGTCCTCGCTCATCGCCACTGGGGGAAGTTTCGTGAAAGGTCCCCAGCGGCGAAGAGCGAGGAGAAACCGCTGCTTTCGCACGCTACCTTTTTGGCAGAATTTTTGCATCATGTTATTGCCTTTTAGGATTTTACAAAAAGATATTTGGAGTTTTTGAAGAATTTTTCATAATGGCCACTATGAGATTGTAAGGGTAACACTGAGTTGTTCATTTTTTGTAGATAGAGAGCGGTAGACCAACGAAACTCATAAGTCCAACATCAGTTTCGAAACCTTTTCATCTATTTTGTTACTGGCAAAATATTCGTCTGATACGTGTCGCACTTTATCCATAATATTCTGTTAATAAGCTTCCGCTTCAATATTTGCTTGTCGGTTTACCCAAACACACCAGCTCAAAACCTAGCGTGCAATGACTTTGACGTCGACCATTGCAGTATGTGTCAGTCAAAAACTTCTTATTGTCACATTATATACGACTGCAGAAATATTTCGCATTCATTTAGTTTTATCCCTGAGAAAAATTATCCTAAGTGATCATGATGACACGGCTACTTTTACTGTGGATTCTGTGTAGCATGTTAATCGCATTCTCCAGTTGCAGAAATTTGTGTTCAAGGATTTTCTTTCAAAACATCAACGAAGAAACCATGCCTTACAAAATCATTGAAGGTGTATACAACAAGGAGAATAACAACCACAACAACTTCCCGGTGTATCGGCAAGAAAACGGCAATCTACTGTTTTACTATTATGTTTCTAAGGAAGGCCTAAAAGTTTTGGTTTTTGGACTTAATCTGAAACACTACTTTGGCGTCGCTGCTAATGTTTATAGAAATGTTGATCCTGTGTCTTGGTTGAACTCCGGGAGTTTGGATAGAAGTGATGTCTTTGGAGGATTGATATACAACTGGCGGTTCTACAACACGCTCGATAAAACCCATTACTATGTTGCAGTTAACAATTCGTCGCCTATAATTAAAGCTGTATGCGTGGATGAAGATTTCAGAGAATGTAACTCGGACAGACTTTACCTGAATGACAATTTCACCGATGGAAAGGGGAATGTTGTGAACGATCTCACTCGAGATTATTTCTTTCGCAAGCAAGGTGTCTTCCAGAACCTTCGCCCTGTGTATGAGCATAGTAGACAAAAGTGGTACCTTGAATACACAGACGGCCCCTGGATGATAACAGAGTATTTCCCGAGGCAATTAACAGTTTTTAAAGTTTTAATGAAGACCAAAGATTTCGCCCTTCGACCAGAGTACATCAGTAACACTTGGTCGGTCCGTTTCAATGGATGGGGCGATATGCCTAAATTTAGACTCTTATGTAGAGGGGTGAGATCGATGTCGAATACATGTCCATCGAAGCCATGTAATAGCAAAGCTTCATGCATCTACACTTCCGGTAACGAAACACTTTGTCTCTGTCCTTTCGGTTACACCGGTGTGACATGCTCTACCAACAAACAGTGCCCCACTCCCTACCCCTTAGCAGGAACAGAACTGAAATTTGCATACTTTGGGAAAAGGCCTGGCGATATCGGTTTTTCCTTCTGTAGTGGATCGTATCCTTCTGTAAGGTTTTCCCTTTGTAGGGACAGCAAATACAGTAATCTTTACTGGTTTAGAGTTGGGGGCGACTGTCATAGAGTGAATACTGGACGTACTTCTCCCCCCTGGTCATTTTGGAACCCAGGAAAAACCCAAAGTCCCTGGAAACCTCCCAAGGCTCGAGCTCGCCATAACTTTGATAACAATCCTAAAATCGTCTCCGTGGTTCTTACTTCCGTCGCGCTTCTGGAATTGCTCCTGCCATTTATCATCTACTGCTGCGCTATCTGCAAGAAAAAAAGTAAAGAAGACAGAGAAGAACAAGAAGATCAGAGAAGGTTACAGGAAGTTGGCGGGGAATTAGAAAGAAGACTTGAGCAAGTTGCTAGGGCCGGAAGCCAAGAGGAACTCGACCGAGGTGTTCAAGATTACCAACGAACCGTCCAGGAATACCAACGTGAGAACCAAGACAAAGAACTGAACCGAAAACGAGGCTTCCACAAAAGTGAGGGTTTATGGCGAATCATTTCCATGCACTTGTTTTTTTCCTTTTACTTATGGATCGTGTATCTGGTGGGCTGTGAAATTTCTCAATGTACTCAATACGGACGTATTTTCGTCTACTTAAAAACTTTTGGAATTGTGATGCTGTGCATGTCGTCTGTTTACACTTTTATAGAAAGTATCTTCTGCCACGAGTGGGATTACTTAAGAAACATCATGCAGGACGAGACCGCATCGGGCTACATACAAAAAATGCATCAAGTCGCACCAAGGATTGGCATGGTCGTGGAGTGCTATCATTTCGAGACGCGCACGCGTGTCGTGTACTACACGAACGCATATAGCAACACGCAGTCCCGCACAGAAACTTATACCGTGAGGGTTGTGACATTCGTAGACCACGATGAATTCTCGTTCGGCTCGTGGGTTGATGTTTCCGAAAGAGAAATGCCATCACTGAGTACAGTGTCTCTTACTCGAGTAAGAATTGATCCTTATGTCTCGTTCGGTGATCATGAGACAGCAGATGATTACGAGAGACAAGTAGCAGCCATGATAGAAAGAAATCGTCACCGAGATGCTTTTACGGATTTCTCAGCAAGTAGAGAAATTCCTGGGCTGAAGAAGAGGATCTCTGCTTATGTGGATTTGAGGGTGAAGCCTTGGTGGATTCGACCTCTGTTCTTTTGGCTGGCCACGCTGTTGCAGGTGACTTGGCCTTATCGCTGGCTGTTCAGAGCCAAGACAAGTAAAAGTTACTATGCCTTAAAGAAGAAGCTGTACAAGAGTACCACGCCCCCAAGAGAAGTAGACATTATGGATCCAATAGCAATGCTGACGAGTGGGGCAGCTTCCAATGACTCAGCCCTCCCGAACCAAATGTCTTATGAGATGACAGAGATCGTCAATCCAGGCATTGAAAACCCCGCCTTCCAACGCGACTGCGCACCTTATCCACCTGGCAATCCAACTTTGGGACCTGCTTACTCGGCCGCTGCCCAACCAAGTGCACCATCTGCAACATACGACACAGACACCCCACACCCTCCGCCTCCTGTGTATACTCCTTATCCCACCGGTGGAGCTTTGTATCCTACCCAACCACCCGGACCTGTCTACCCTCCTTATTCTGTGGTTCCGCAGACAGACGAGCCCCCGCCATCCTACGATGCTACTGTAGGATTCACTCCTGACACGGCCCCAAGCAAGTAACCAGAAAATAGCCTCTGGGACTTGAGGCTGCCGAGGAAATATTAGAGAAAAACTACTTAGTGTTACCCGGAAGCTTTAAAGAATTTTCGTTTTTCCCTTATGTAATTGAACGAAATGGAAATGGAACAGATAACCCCGGGGGGGGTACTTTAGGAATTTCTGGGTGGGGATGTACCGCTGGGACCCTGGGACCCTTAACCTATACCAGAGCTACTTCAGCTGAATTTTGCTTCTCTATACTAGAGTAAACTCCCCAAATCCCCCCTATCCTAGAGTAGCTGTTTTCCAGAAACTACTGAGGGCACTAGCACAGTCTAGCCAAAACAAAACCTTATACCACAATCCCTAGTCTAGATAAAATCTTCAACCAACTGATCAGTTTCCCGAAAACTGATACCCTATTCTAGACCCAAACGCTGTGATTTATATACCCTATCCTTGAGTAAACGGCTTGAAAACCATACCCTTCACATCGGCACACACCTATATAGCCCATATATGGCAGTACCCCTCCCCCCCCGGGCAGATAAGCAGTTTGATTAGGAAAAAAAGAAAGGAACAGCGATGCAAACAACCTCGTTTCCAGGGTTCTCTCTCTTTCAAGGACTCTGGGATGGAGGTTGCGATGGTAATCCGCCATTGTTTTAAAAGAGTTATTGCTTCTTTCACCAGGTCTTGTTAATACTAGGACAAGTAATACGAAAAAAAAACAAAACGTGTCGTACGAAAAGCCACTTAACATCAGGCTTTAGCATGTAATCAGCATGTAATGAGCCGAAAAATATCTTTATCTTCACTAAATATCTTTTAGTGATCCCTAAATATCAGTAGAGGACAACAATACTTAACAACTTGTTTCTGTGAAATAACTAAACGGAATGTCTTTCCTCTAGTCACCTGGCATAAACGTTTTTTCAGGTTAGGTTATTTTGGTGGAAAGGATATAGAAACAGGTCGCCTTTGGCGCAAACAAAAACCCTGAACTGAGAGATCGAAAATTATATACAATATTATAAGGTTTTGCATTATCTTCTTTCAAATTAAGTAACTAGAAATTTTCTGTAATATCGTACCCGGACCGATCTTGTAACCAGAAATCAAGGAATATCATTGATTTTTAGTGTGTTACGTATTTCAATATTTTAAAAGTTACTATATCACGGATTTTAAAATGAACAAAACATAAACTGAAAGGTGATTGCTTTCAAAACATAATTTCATTTTAAATTATATATTTTTTTGATTTCAATAAAAATTTCTCCACAGAACACTCTCACCTCTCCAGCACTGAGAAGGACTCCTTATCCCCGTCCACATCAGTGACGGATCCAGAGGAGGGGCTCGGGGGGCTCGGCCCCTTCGTTATTTTTTGACCAAACTGAAGCCCAAAGGGCCGAAAAAATTGGGGGGGACCCCTCCCTTATCTCAAGGTCTGGATCCGACACGGCACATGCACATGCACGATGACCGCTGTAGAGTGAATTGTCTGTGAGCAGGAGCCCATGCTGTGACTCTGTAAAACATACAGATGCGTTTGCTGGCTTATAAAAATATTCACCAATGTTAAGAATAAAAAATAAGGGAAGTTTCCCTTATTCCTTATTGTCAATACAAATCGATATCAGAATCTAACTAAAACGCCAAATAACTAGAGGATATTACACGGTGGCGCGAAGATATGAACTTTATTTTCGAGGGGCAAAACAGTATTTTACGAACGAGCGCAGCGAGTGATTAAAATATTGTTTTTGCCACGAGAAAATAAAATTCATATCTTCAAGCCGCCGGGTAATGTTCTTTTTATTATATAGACAAAATGACATCGATAAAATAATAGAGGGAAATTACCAAAACTACGTCATCGATAAACGTGGAAAATAAACCATACGGGTCCCGGATGTACTCCTGTCTATTTAGTAAAACGCCTTCTAAATGGCTTTAGAAGCCGAAAGACAGTGAAAAATAGAACACCACACATGTACAAGGAGAGTTATTTTATTCCTATTTTTGTCCAAAATGGAATTTAAGACGTAGTTTATTTATTTTCATACATTTTCTTATACAAAGCCCCGCAAACTCCCATAGAGTCTGGGCCACCTGTGGGTACGAAGGCTAGTCACGACAGAACTGAAGAAAACATAGGAAAGAGAATTTCATTTTACATGTCGTTGCCATCAAAAGACGTGAACCGAAAAACGAGTTTCGTTTCCTTTTTCTAAACTGAGGGAAAAGTCATTAAGAATTGACTTATCAATTAACCGTAATTCGCCAACATTTGGCTATTTTAACCAATTTATAGAGGGAGAGAGCACAAGACAAATGTTAACGCTCTTAACGAGAAGCTCTTGAGTTCAATATCAGGTAAAAATTGATTCCATATATATGGGCAGTGAACATGAGGATTTGAATGAGTTTGGCTAAATTACCTGGCAAATATTGAAGCGGAATTAAAATAAACGTGTGATATGTATCGTACATCACAATATATCCTTTGTGTTTAGCCACTTCCGCTTCAATATTTGCCAGGTGGTTTAACTAAACTCATTCAAATCCTCATATACACTGACTGTCACACCGAATAAAAAAGTATGTGTCAGTCAATTTCTTCTTGTTGCGACATACTGTAGTCCTAATATAGGACTACAGAAATATTTTCGCATTCATTTAGTTCAGTCTGCGCCCTGAGTAGATTATGGTAAGAGATCATGATGCAGATGATTGCACGACTACTTCTTTTACTGTGGATTTTGTGCAGCTTGTTGGTCGCATTCTCCAATTGCAGAACTTTGTGCTCAAGGATTTTCTTT